ACCAGTTGCTAAAAGTTGTCTTTTAAAATTTTGTGTAGACATGAGGATTTGTAAGTGTGGACACTGAGATTTGAAAAAATTTTAATTTTATTAATATTAATTAGCACCAAAAATTTATATTAAAATGATCGACATTTCTCTGATTTATTCATGAATCACCAATTAATAATAATTTATTCCTGGATTTTTTAAAAGATATTAATTTTATTTATTTTGTGTATGACAAACTAAATTAATTGAAATAAATATTTCCGTCACATAGAAACCTCGTGTAACGTGACACACCCTGATTGAAATTTAAACACTGCTTCACACCCTTGTTTGATACCCTTGCTGTGTATCAACCACCATCAAATTTGAGATATAATTTAATAAAACCGAAAATAATCTGACACTCAAAGTCAAATTTTGCCTTTATGTTCATATGTGTAAAATTTTGTTTGACATGTCAAACGTTTACCATCATTGCTTCCATGCTATAAATCTAAATAGTTATAATTCATAATTGAAGAATCATAATAACATCATCATTATGACTTACTATGATATTGATTCATAGTATAGTGTCACCAATTATTTTTGGGAGAGCATATTTTAATTGATGATAACAAATTTTTATTATTTTATGTGGATCAGAATGAATAGGTTAATACTAATGAATTAGATTTATTAGCAAATAATTTTGTTTTAGTGATTTGATAAAAATGATTTATTAACTTATTATTATGTTAATTTGTTACAAAGTTATTCTTTGATTACAGCGAATTCTCATTCCCTATATACATGTTTGATTATATGTATCCTAGTTTAGGATAATTAGCCTAGATTAAGATATTTATCCTAATTCAAGATAATTCTCCCAAGTTAGGATAATTCTCTCTTTCTAGGATAATTATCCTTCTTTGTACACAGGATAATTCTCCTAATCTAAGATATATATCCTGATTCAGGATAATCTTCATTAATTTCTACTAAATAAAGGTCTAATGTGAACGTGTTACTAATTAATTACTTCTGTGGAATGTAACACGAACTCATATTAATATAATTAAATTAAATCATTCGGAAATTATTACAAAGTAAAAATAGAATAAAATAAAATTAAAAATAAATAATAAATGAAATAAATAACTAAAAATAAATAATGAATAACTAAAAATAATAAATAAATAAATAAATAATATAAATAATATAAAAATAAAATATAAAATATTACTCCGGATTTTCGGGGTCATTGATCAGCGAATTAAGGTCCAATTCGCATTCCGGTGACATCACCTCCGCGCCAGCATTGAGCTCCTGCGAAACAGGAAAAGTCAAGTCGTTCAATATATCATCCCAGAGCAATGAGGCTTGTAACCATTCAGCCACAATTGCCCTTATTCCTATCATCAGTCTTTCAAAATTTCCATCTGTCATTTCCCGAAGGGTGCTAAGACGTAATCTTTGTGGGGGTAAATAAGATAATCTAATTGTATTGAACAATATCACAGTCCCCTTTGCCATTCTGACAATTTTTCCACTTTTATTGTAGTTGTGCTGACATTTTGATGAATTTTCTTCTTCATAGTCACAGGATATTCTTCAATGAGTTTCCCAAAAGATAATAATACTCAAAGGCATTACTATTTCTTATAACCTTTAATTTACCCAATATAGTTGTCAATTGATTATCTTCATCTCCATCTATTTTGGGTAGTACTTTTTCATCAGTTCTTATTATTCTGAACTCATCTAAATATTCATCAATTTCAGTGGGTGGTTTGAGTGATGTTTCTTCTAAAATTTGTTCTTCCCCATCCTTTCTAATTTAACCTTTCCATCTGCAACAATCAACTCTTCTCCTCCAGGCATCTTCTTAGCTAATTGTAATAATTGAGTTAGAAGTGTTTGAGTAAGGTAAGTGGGTGTTTGGCTCATTTTTAAATTTTATGAATTAAATATAGTGCAGGACACCTAGTCCCACAACTTTTTATTGGTATTGTATATCCTTTAGTATACCAGAAATGGAAATGTAACACCAAAAAAACAAAACATGATTTTGAAGCTAAGACCTTTCTCCACAAAGCTACGATTTCATTTTGTTGATATGTCACATTACCATGGAGAGATCAAGCCTCAAAGTTGCACAAGTTTACTATGTTAAGCCCAAAACTGTCGCGTTACACGCGATTTATATATATATAAAAATGAACAAATTGAAACAAAATAAAAGTCTTTGAATTTTTAGTTGATGATCACTTCCATATTAGGTAACCCAATGTTTATTCTTATTGCCGATTTTACTATTTATGGAATGTCTAGGAAATATCACATGACAAAACAATTTTTATTGCATTTTTGATTGGAAATTTTTTCCAAAAATTCGTCGTCGTGGCGCAGTAAGTTGCGGGATTAGGTGTCCTGCACTGTATATTTGTGTCAGAGTAAATTTTCGCAATGTGGTATTTATAAAGTTTGATTGTTAATGTTGATTGTTGTATTAATTTGTTTGTGTTATACAATTATTTGTGGTTCCATGTGCCTCTCTTGGTATGACTTTAACCGGTTAGCATGTACAAATCTTTTTCGAACTTTCCCTTCTTGATTCCTTAATTGGTAAGTCCCATTTAATCCAATATCATGAATGTAAAATGGTCCTTCCCATTTTTCTTCTAATTTCTTGGCAGAATTTTTGTACAACAGTACTTTGTTTCCAATATAAAATTTTGTTTCCACAACTTTTTGGTCATACTGTTTCTTTTGTTTTTCTTGTGTTCTTGAAATATTTTCTCCCGCTTCAACTCTTTTATCTGGCAAGTTTCCAATGAGTTCGTAAACTCTTTTCAATAATAATTCTTCTTTTTGTTCTCCGCTACTAATCTCTGTAGGGTATGTAGGAATTTGTAATTCAATTGGAAATATTGCTTCTCTTCCATAAGTTAAATAAAAGGGTTCATGCCTAGTAGTACTATTAATCATTGTTCTATAGGCAAATAATACTGAAGGTAAATATATATCCCAATCTTCTTTATAGGTGGCCACATACTTGGCCAATGCTTCGCAAAGCGTCCTATTAAATCTCTCAACCAACCCATTTGTTTGTGGATGATATGCTGATGACAATTTATGTTTTATTCCCATTACTCTGCATAGTTCATCCAACATTTGGTTAACAAAATGGGTTCCCTGGTCTGTCAACAATATCTTAGGACAACCATGGTG